TTTGTTCGCCTCTGCAGAGTGAAGGTGATCCATGCACATCCCATACTATCTTTGGACTGTCTGAGGGCAAGAGCCACCCTTTGCAGAGCACTAGTGCAGAGGGAAGAGCAGAAAGAGGCACGTCCACAACTACACCTTGATAGGACTCATCAAGACAGTCAGGTTTCTTGGCTGGACGGGTTTTCAGGCCCATAGAACATGCCTCTGTGCCTCTAATCTGGGCAGGGCAAGGTGAGGATGGAGTGGAAGGCAAGGGTAATTCCCTTAGAAGGGAGGAAGCTTCTCATGGCAGCTGGGACATATGGAGGCTGTGCTGAGGGAGAAAAGATACTAGGACACATTCTCAGTAAGGTCCCTGACCGCTCCCCTTTTACTGAGTTGGTAGGGTCACAGCATAACCATTGAAGGAAAAATAGAACATTCCTCACCCCCACCCCCACATCCATGCTGAGCAAAGTGTTATCATGTGGGTAAAAATTTAAGGAGTGTTGCGGGCAGCATCCAAGAACACAGATGTGGCCAGGGAGTGCATCTCACATGGCTCTTTTCTAGGATTTTGACCTCGGGTCCCAGGACTAAGCCCTAAGCCAGATGTAGAAGTTGCTGGAGTTTCATCAAGTGTCTTCACAATAGCAGTGCGGGTTTCCATTCCTGGAAATAAAATAAAAATGTCAGGGTACAAGGCCCTGACCAAGCATATTTGCTGTGAAAGTCCACTAGTCACAGAAGTTGCAATCAATTTTCAATATGTGTTCATCCGAAAGAACCATCCAAGGATTGTGGAGGCAGCATGGTGCAGTGGTTGGGAGCCTGTGTTCTGAGATTTATCCATTTTGTGAACTTGGCCACATTACTCACCTTCTTTGGGCCTCCGCCTTATCTGTAAAATACGGATAATACCTACCTCACAAAACTATCATAAACTTTAGGTGAATTCCAGGGCAAAGAAACAGAACCCAGATTCATAACATTTTTTAAACGGCCATTTTTTAAACCATTGTATTTTTATTGGACCACATTTGTTCTCTGAACAATTGGATGAAAGAATGTTTCTTGAATGCCTAATGTACACTTAACACTGATGGATACAGAAGGAGCATGTACCCTGGCTTGGTCAGGCATCTGAAATCTGATAGAAAGATGAGACAATGTGAGACCTTGCCAGGCTGCTGTGAAATTGAATGGTAAACTATATCATGTCCTTCCATGCCCTCAGCATTCATGAAAAGAGGGGCCATGCCAGCTGCATTGGCTAAGGTAGGATGCATGAAAGGAAGGGACTGGAGCAGAGCCTTGAAAGATAGGCAGGATTGGCCGGGCGCAGTGGCTCACACCTTTAATCCCAGCACTTTGGAAGGTCAAGGCAGGTGCATCACTTGAGGTCAGGGGTTCAAGACCAGCCTGGCCAACATGGCAAAAACTCATCTTTACTAAAAATACAAAAATTAGCTGGGCATTGTGCATACCTGTAATTTCAGCTGCTCAGGAGGCTGAGGCAAGAGAACTGCTTGAACCCAGGAGGCGGAGGTTGCAGTGAGCCAAGATTGCACCACTTCACTCCAGCCTGAGGCGTTTGGCAGATCTGAGGAGGGCAGGGATAGAGAGTAAGACTCTGTCTCAGAAAAAAAAAAAAAAAGCAAAAAGATAGGCAGGATTTGGAGAGGTGGTAGGTGAAGAGAGCATTCTGGGTCAGGGCGGTGATCTGAGCACCTGGGGCAGGGGCTCAGTAAATATTTAGCAGCTGGATGAATGAATGAATGAATGAATGAGCAAAGATAATAAATTATCAGCATAGTGTAAGATTAGCCTGATGGATGCTTTGTTGAATGAATGAATGCATGATTAAACAAAAAAGCAAAGACACTGAAATTAGAGAATGGTGGACATAGCCGTAAGACCAGCCTGACTGAATTGTGAAAATTGGGGAGTTGTGGAAAATAAGGTAGAGGTGGAGCAGAAAGTGGAAGAGCTTTTGAGACAGTAGAATCTTCTAGGAGGAGCATGGAGTCTGGATCCAGAGGGAGCACTTGGACTCTATCACAACATATTGACCATGTGACTTTGAGTGAGTTACTTAATCTCTCTGTGCATTAGTTTCCTTGTCCAAAAAATATAGGAATAAATTGATATCTGCTCTATAGTGTCATTTTGAAGATGAACTAAGAAACCTATGAAATGTAAGCATGGTGCCTGGCACATTGTAAGTACCTTAAACTGTTAGCTTTTTTTATTATTATTATTAGTTTTATTAAGGACTGAGCAGATGGGAATAGATTCAATATGAAATCTTAGGGAACCACTGAGGTTTCTTGAAGTGGGAAATGAGAATGGAATGCAGTGTTTGGGAAGAATCACTTGGTTTTCAGGCTGGGTTGGAAGGCAACGGTACAGCCCCAAAGTGTGAAGAAGGGCTGATCAGGGACTAGAAGGAGCCCCTCCTGAAAATGAGACAGCCTGTCTACTTGCTGGTACATGTCTGAAAGTGGGAGCCTGGCATCCACAGGCCCTCAGTGATCCTACTGAATGAAAATCTACTGCACCAATTGAACAATATAATTTTGGAGCTCACAGGCTCAATGGCCAATACTATCAGAATTCTCCCTCAGCCAAGTATAGAGAGTTTTAAAGCACTGGAGAAGTTCACTAAGACTTGGCCTCTGGTTTATTTCAATTTCTCCTCCCCCATGTAGCTGGTGTGTTTTTGTTTTGTTTTTGTAGAGACAAGTGTCACCATGTTGCCCAGGCTGGTCTTGAACTCCTGGGCTCAAATAATCCACCCACCCCAGCCTCTCAAAGTGCTGGGATTACAGGCATGAACACAGCCCTTTTGCCTCTTCTTTTTCTGATCTATGTTTTCAAATTCCAGTTTGCTAGTCAGGAATTTCTCCATTTTAAGTTCTGAAACACTATTCAAATCAGCTTAAAGAAAGAGGGATAGTGTATTGGCTCATGAAGCCAAAAATCCAGATGAATCTCATCTTGAGGTATAGCTGGATCTAGGCACTCAAACATTGTCATCAGGATTCTCCCCTCTTTCTCTCTTTCTCAGCTTTTTTCTTTGCATGGCTTCATTCTCAGATGCTACCTCTGAGGGTGTCAGAATTTCATTCTCACAGTGAAAAGTCTCAGCAGCCAAAAGGATTTCTCTTTCCTAATAATACTAAGAAAAGCTCTAGAATGGAGCTTAGTTTTTATTTTATTTATTTATTTATTTATTTATTTGAGACAGAGTCTCGCTCTGTCACAGATGCTGGAATGCAGTGGCATGATCTTGGCTCAATGCAACCTCTGCCTCCCCAGTTCAAACAATTCTCCTGCCTCAGCCTCCAGTGTAGCTGGGATTACAGGTGTGTGCCACCACACCTGGCTAATTTTTTTGTATTTTTAGTAGAGACAGAATTTCACCATGTTAGCCAGGCTAGTCTTGAATTTCTGACCTCAAGTGATCCACCCGCCTCAGCCTCCCAAAGTGCTGGGATTACAGGCATGAGCCTGGTAGTTACAGACTGGTCAGGAGCTTAGTTGGGTAACTTGCTTTTCTCTTGAATGTGTGGCCGTGGCCAGGGGATGTGACCCATTGGCTGGTTCCATGTTCTCTTCTGGAGCTGGGGGGTGAACTCAGCCTCTCCCAAATCCCACAGTTGAAAGTGTGGAAGGAATGGCTTCCCAAGGAAAATTGAAGTTTAGTTACCAGAAGTAGGAGGAATGGATGCTGAGCAAGCAAAAAACACAACTGACTCCTACAGGCCACCAATACTGAAACCACAAGCATCATGAAATCTCCTCCTATTGAAAGGTTCTGTAATACACTACTCCAATAGGCTTGAATTCACTTGGAAATCAACTTACCTTCTCTTGTATTTCCAGAAAAGTTGTATCTAATGAGAAACAAACTCTGGCACTCAGAGGTTGAGCCGTGTTGACATCATCACATAGAAACTGCCATTGGTTTTACCTAATTGCACTCTCCTTTTTGGGAGTATTACTTCTGATGAAAGGGTTTCAGGAGCACTTAATGCTTTAAATGTGTTTGTACAGCACCTTGAATTCTCAAGAGGTATCACATAAATGCATGCGTTTTAAATTTTGACTTGTAGCCTGGCCTTCTGATAGTGATCTTAGAAAATTGACCTAGAAGAAGAATACATTTTTCTCCCGGGCTGTGACTCAAATTACTATGGCAATGAATTTCTGTCAACTCTGAAGCATCTTCCTGCTTTTTAATCTTTTCACTAATAAGAAATTCGTCCAGGTGCAGTGGCTCGCACCTGTAATCGCAGCACTTGGGAGGCTGAAATGGGTGGATCACTTGAGGTCAGGAGTTTGAGACCAGCCTGACCAACATTCTGAAACCCTATCTCTACTAAAAATACAAAATTAGCTGGGCATGGTGGTGCATGCCTGTAGTCCCAGATACTCGGGAGGCTGAGGCAGGAGAATCGATTGAACGGGGGAGGCAGAGGTTGCAGTGAGCTGAAGTTGTGCCATTGCACTCCAGCCTGGGCAACAAGAGCTAAAGTTCGTCTCAAAAAGAAAAAGAAAGAAAGAAAGAAAAGAAATTCAACACATATAAATTAAAAATAATCAGCTTATAAGTCTATTTGCATATATATTTTTTAAATGGACCGATGACTTGCACATGATCTAAGAAGAATAAGAAGTCAGGGAAATATTAAATCCACATATTCATTCAACACATTTACTGAAGGCCTACAGCCTACCATGTGCTAGGGACTGTACTAGGCCTTGGGGATATAGAAATAAGCAAAACAGATTTTTTTTTTTTTTTTTTGAGACGGAGTTTCGCTCTTGTTACCCAGGCTGGAGTGCAATGGCGCGATCTCGGCTCACCGCAACCTCCGCCTCCTGGGTTCAGGCAATTCTCCTGCCTCAGCCTCCTGAGTAGCTGGGATTACAGGCACGCACCACCATGCCCAGCTAATTTTTTGTATTTTTAGTAGAGACAGGGTTTCACCATGTTGACCAGGATGGTCGCAAAACAGATTTTTAAAAAAGTCTTTGTTTATATGAAGCTTACATTCTAGTAGGTGTGTCCATTTATATACAGTCTTCAAGTCTCTGTGTCACTGACAAGGACTAGTACTATACACCAGGAAGCATGCATGGTGAATCTTCAGATTCCTCTATGCTAGGCTTTCTGCCAGTGCTCTGCATACATCATCTCATTATTCTCTTCTTCCTAAGGACTAACAACAGCCTTTAGAGAGATGTAGACACCTGTTCAAGGAGCCACAGGAAATGAGTGGTAGGGTCAAGACTGGAACACCTATATCTATATCTGCCTTTTAGCTCATACTTTCTCTTGGGGTGTGGATGTTGGGGAGTGGTAGGGACTGTGGTATATCAGATGACAAGCTCTGTGCAAAGGGAGCAACAACTCATTCAGATCCAGCCACTTGACACTCAGGAATGTAGCTCAATGTGGTCAAGTTTTCTGATTTTTCAAGAAAAGCCAGCAAACAGGATATTGACATCAAAACCAATTTCAAAATACTGTGAAAGCCAAACCAAAACATAACTCAGGCCACAGATCTGCCTGTCTGTTAGAGCTCATGCTGTGACCAGGAGGGTTCCTAGGGAGGTAGAATTCCAGATAGCCATCTTGAAACTAGCTGGCTGAGTGCAGTGGGGCTTGCCTGTAATCCCAGTACTTTAGGAGGCCAAGGTAGTGGATCATTTGAGGTCAGGAGTTGAAGACCAGCCTGCCCAACATGGTGAGACCCCGTCTTTACTGAAAATACAAAAATTAGCTGGGCGTGGTGATGCACACCTGTAATGCTAGCTACTCGGGAGGCTGAGGCAGAAGAATCACTTGAGCCTGCGAGGCAGAGGTTGTAATGAACCAAGATTGTGCCACTGCACTCCAGCCTGGGAACTCTATCTCAAAAAACAAACAAAAACAAACAAACCAGAAACTAAATATACATCATGGGTAGAAAACTGCATATACATCTATGATACTTACACAAAGTGTTTCTCAGGTTAATTTTCAAAGACTAAGATAGAAAAATGGGGCCCTTATTTACCAAAAAAGCAAAGGCCTTTAATGAAAGCTACCAGGGCGGCAGCAGCTGGGGCACTCCAACCCCCAAGCCATGGAGGAGGTCAGTGTGGAACCATCCGATGGTGGGCTGACAGGCCACGCTTCTCTGAAAAGGAAAATTTAACTTCAGGGCAGGCTTCATGTTACATCTGAGACCCTGATAATGATCATTATGCTGTCAGCACACAAGAAATGGTTCAAAATAATTCTCCTCCTGAAAGTCACGTCCTGTGTGCTTTCTGGTCTTTCCTGGCCTCCTCCACCCTATGGCCTCCAACACTCAACAAACCTTTCCTCTTCCCCACCCATTTGCCAAGGAACTGTGGCCATCAGACAACATATGGAGGTCTCATCACCGGGGTGGTCTGTAACTGGAAAGGAGTTGGTCATCTGGTGTTGGCAGCTCCTCTTCCTGTCATGGCCTTTGGAAGGAAAGAGGGAGGAACGCAGAATAGCATCAATGTTAAAAAACATTTGCACCATCAACAGACTGAAACGCTACAAGACAATAGTCTTACTTTAAAAGTATAAAGGAATTCCCATCCTCTTGATCTTAGCAAGATCAAAAACCTCTGTTTACTACAAGAATTGTTTCAGAAAGGGAAGTGAAATCTGGCACATGAAAAATCCCATTTCTATCCACTCTCAAGATAGTAACTTTGTAGCCATATGCCATGTGTATTTCATCATAGCAAAACAGTACTGTAGTGCACTGGGGACAGATTTGCTGCCACTGCTGCTGCTGCTGCTGCTGCCGCCACCTCCACCACCTCCTTCTGTTGCTTGGGTAAAGCTGAGGCATGTGGCACTGTTGTGAGATTCTTAGAAGATCCAGGCAAGTACTCCTGGCTAGGACCCTACAACTCAGTTTGAACCATGAGGCTCTAAATCTCAGCCTTTCTAGGTCCTGGTACCGTGTCTTTAGAAGACATACACAGGAAGGACTTAGATACCTTCTGAAAAAGATGGGACAGAAAAAAACCTTATACTCCCCCTCTCCCCTCCTCTTGCTTGGAAGATCATTTAAGGTTAAGAGATGAAGTGACTTTTCCTACTGAAGGGGAAGCAGACATACATTTTTATTTCCTTTGGATAAATACTTACCTTAGTCCATTTGGTGTTCTTGTAACAGAATACTTGAGATAGGTAATTTATAAAGAGGTAGAGCTCACAGTTCTGCAGACTGGGAAGTTCAAATGGTGGCAGCATCCACTTGGCTTCTAGCGAGAGCTTTTGTGCTGGGTCAAAACGTGGCAGAATCACAGGGCAATGCTATGATTTGGAGTGTCCAGAGGCCTGTGTTCCAGCCATGGTTCCCCTTTGTCCTCATCTTGGGACGCAGCACTACTTACTCAACATTTTTGAGTCTCAGTTTCCCCATCTATAAAATGGGAATAATAATAGGACCAACCACATAGAGCTGTTGTGAGGGTTAATTAGGTGAGATGCTGCATAGTAAGAGAGGCTTCCTTTGCACAGAGCTTGTTCTTTACTGCAGCCCCCAGTAATCCCCTTCCTGCCTCCCTGTCTTCACCCTAGGAGAAGGTACAAATTAAAAGGCAGATCTCAGATCTATGTTCCAGTTGTGGCCCCATCTCTTCTTTCTGTGGTTCCTTGGACTGGTGATCAGGAATCATTTTTCTGCATGATGACCAGGGCCACTCTACCGCAGTTCTTCAGCTGCAGCAGTGGAGACACATATTACCTTTGCTCCCATCGCATCCGGGTCCTTATTTTAGATGCCACCTTTGTCTGATTCTCTGAGCTGCTTCAGACACAGTCCAGATGAGTGTGCTTGTCCTGCCCCTTCCCCAGCCACACTGGCAGCCTGGAAATTGTGGAGTGCGCCTGCATCAGAATAGAGAGAGTTTCACTTTATGTGTATGCAGATTCCTGGGCTTCATCCTAGACCCACTGCTTCTGAAACCCTGGGAGCCAGGGCCTAGGAGTCTTCAGGTGTGACAAGCCTGCCAAGGGAGCAGATGCACATGAAAGCTAGCATTTATGGCCCTCTGGGGCCTCAAGCTCTGGAGAGCTTTGCCTCAACCAGGACAGCCCCAGTCACCGTTTAGCAGTTTGGCTCTACTCCCTGCCCCGCCCATCCCTGCTTAGTCCCAGGCCCAGTCCCCCATTATCTCACACCAGAACCAGTGGCCTTGCTTTTTTCCTGCCAGTCTGGAGGTCTTGATCTGAAGTGTCAGCCTGCCCTGATACTTCCTTACTTCCTGACTTTAAATTCTGCAGGGGTTTCCCATGCCCTGCAGGATCATGTCTGACAAAGCATTCAAAGCCTCTCTCTTCAGCCTCAGATCTCCTGCCACTCCCTCTCCTAGTTGGGAAAACTCCAACTAGGCTTATAGTATGCTGAGGTCGCTGAATGTTCCATGAGGCTGCATGTCTCTCTGCTTCTATAGGCACGGTACCCTCCAGCAGAATGACCCTTCCCCTCTGCTACTCTTCCAGTCTCAGCTGAAATGTTACTTCCTCTGGGAAGCCTTCTCAGGTGTCCCTAGGTAAAACTGCGCACTCTTCCTCTTTCCCTGTACACTCCCCAAACATATCACCCATGATCCTGAATTGCCTTTATTTGCTTATATGTTTCTGCCCCACAAAACTACAAGGGATTTGCATTTTATTCATATCAAATTCTAAAACTTTATCAGGGCTGATAAGGCTCGGCATGATCTGGCTCCCATACACCTCTCCAACCTTTCCCCACCATTCTCTGCCCCGCCCACTTCACTCAGTCACTGCTGCCTGCTGACTGTTCCCAAGCTCACCAAGCTCTTTCCTCATGGGGCCTTTGTTCCTGTAGTGCCCTTTGCCTGGAATGCCTCTCCCTCGATCTTTCCATGGCTGGCTCCCTCTTGACATCCAGGTCTTGCTCAAATGTCACCTTTTCAAGGCCAGCCAATCAAAAATAGGTTTGTTTGTTCTAGAACTTCATTTAAATGTAATAATATGCTATGCACGCTTCTATCTGGCGTCTTTCACTCAGTATAAAGTTTTTGAGGTTTATTCATGTTGTAGCACTTATCACTACTTAGTTCTTTCTTTCTTTTTTTTTTTTTTTTAGATTGAGTCCCACTCTGTCGCCAGGCTGGAGTGCAGTGGCACAATCTCAGCTCACTGCAACCTCTGACTCCCCGGTTCAAGCAATTCTGCCTCAGCCTCCTGAGTAGCTGGGATTACAGGCACGCAATACCACACCCGGCTAATTTTTGTATTTTTAGTAGAGAGGGGGTTTCACCATGTTGGCCAGGGTGGGGTCTCCATCTCCTGACCTTGTGATATGCCCACCTCAGCCTCTCAAAGTGCTGGGATTACAGGCATGAGCCACCGTGCCCGGCTGTTCTTTTTTGCTACCGAATAGTAAGCCATTGTATGAATATACCACAATTTATCTGTTTACTTGTTGATGGACACTTGGGCTATTTCCACTTTTTGGCTATTATGAAGAAAGCTGCTCCGACATTTTCATGTACTAATCTTTGTGCAGACATATATTTTTATTTCCTTTGGATAAATACTTGCCTTAGTTCATTTGGCATTGTTGTAACAGAATACTTGAAATAGGTAATTTATAAAGAGGTAGAGCTCACAGTTCTGCAGACTGGGAAGTTCAAATGGTGGCGGCATCCACTTGGCTTCTAGCAAGGGCTTTTGTGCTGGGTCAAAACATGACAGAAAAGGTTAAAGGGGAAGCAGACGTATGCAAAGAGAGATTAAACAGGAGGAGAAACTTCACTTTATTACAACCCCTTGCTCAGGAACTAATACATTCCTTGAGAATTGATCCAGTCTCTTGAGAACAACAACAATAACAACAACAAACCCACTCATTACTAGGACAACAGCACCAACCTATTCATAAGGGATTCACCTCTATGATCCACGCACCTCCCACTAGGTCCTACCTCCCCAGTGCACAGAACTGGCAAGCAAACTTGAACATGAGTATTAGCACAGACAAATCACATCCAAACCATACCTATAATGGAGATTGCTGGGCATTGGTAAGTGTATTTTTAACTTTATAAGATACCACCAAACTTTTTTCCAAGTAATTGTTCCAGTTCACACTCCTGCCTGCAATGTATGAGAGTTCCAGGTGTTCCATATCATCACCAATACTTGTTATTACTAATCTCTTAAAGTTTAGCCATTCCGCCGGGCACAGTGGCTCCTGCCTGTAATTCTAGCACTTTGGGAGGCAAAGGTGGGCGGATCACCTGAGGTCAGGAGTTCAAGACCAGCCTAGCCAACATGGTGAAACCCCATCTCTACTAAAAATACAAAAAATTAGTTGGGCTTGGTGGTGGGCACCTGCAATCCCAGCTACTCAGGAGACTGAGGCAGGAGAATTGCTTGAATCCCAGAGGCAGAGGTTGCAGTGACCTGAGATCTTGCCATTGCACTCCACCTAGGGGACAGAGCGAAACTCCATCTCAAAAAAAAAAAAAAGAAAAAAAGTTTAGCCATGCTAATGAGTGTGTGATGTTATCTCATTGTGATTTTAATTTACATTTCTCTAATGGCTAATAATGTTGAGCAACTTTTTGTGTGTTTATTAGATGTTTGTATATCTTCTTTTTGAGGTATTTGTTAAATTTTTTTGCCCATATTTTATTTTGGTTGGGGTCTTATTATTGAGTTATAAGATTTCTTTAGGCTGGGTGCAGTGGCTCATGCCTATAATTCCAGTACTTTGGGAGACTGAGGCAGGCAGATCACCTGAGGTCAGGAGTTCAAGACCAGCCTGACCAACATGGAGAAATCCCATCTCTACTAAAAATACAAAATTAGGCTGGGTGCAGTGGCTCACACCTGTAATCCCAGTACTTTGGGAGGCTGAAGTAGGCGAATCACGAGATCAGGAGTTTCAGACCAGTCTGGCCAACATAGTGAAACCCTGTCTCTACTAAAAATACAAAAAAATAATTAGCTGGGTGTGGTGGTAGGTGCATTCTAATCCCAGCTACTTGGGAGGCTGAGGCAAGGAGAATCACTTGAACCTGGGAGGCAGAGATTACAGTGAGCTGAGACTGTGCCACTGCAGTCTAGCCAGGGTAACAGTGCGAGACTCTATCTCAAAAAAAAAAAAAAAAAAGAATTAGTGAGGCATGGTGGCGGGCGTCTGTAATCCCAACTACTAGGGAGGTTGACGCAGGAGAATTGCTTGAACCTGGGAGGTGGAGGTTGCAGTGAGCCCAGACTGTACCTTGGCACTCCGCCTGGGCAACAAGAGGGAAATTCCACTCCCCCGCAACCAAAAAAAATTTCTTTATATGTTCCACATAGAAATCTTTTGTCAAAAATATGTATTACAAAACCTTCTCCTAGTTATCTTTTAAATGCTATCTTTTCCCTCCTTTTATAGGAAGTTCTTTCTATGATCTCTGCCTACCCCATGGTCATGAAGAATTTCTTCCTTCTTCCAGAAGTTTTATAGGCTTTTTTTTTTTTTTTTTTTGAGACACAGTTTCACTCTTGTTGCCTGGGCTGGAGTGCAATGGCACGATCTTGGCTCACCGCAACCTCTGCCTCCCGGGTTCAAGCGATTCACCTGCCTCAGTCTCCTGAGTAGCTGGGATTACAGGCATGTGCCACCACACCTGGCTAATTTTGTATTTTTAGTAGAGATGGGGTTTCTCTGTGTTCGTCAGGCTGGTCTCGAACTCCCGACCTCAGGTGATCTGCACGCCTCGGCCTTGCAAAGTGCTGGGATTACAGGCGTGAGCCACTGCGCCCAGCAGTTTTTTAAAAATTAGTTCTTTGATTTATTTTGAGTATGGTATGAAGTAGGGATTGAGATGCATTGCATTCCATATGGATATTCAATTATTCCAACACCATTTGTTGAAAAGCCCACCGCTTTACCTGTAGTTATTTAAATTTTGTTTTGTTTGTATTAATTTCTCATGCTAGTCTGTAAGTTTCATCTATTTGTTCTAATTTAACCTGGACTCTTCTCTAGCCCTTCTACCTCCTTACAGGTAGAGAAAGCAGAGAAAAAGCACGTTTGCAAGTTAATTCAGGACATGATCCCAGGGAGCAGGAGTAGGGGACGGGAGAATGAAGTAGGAATGAAGGCAAGCCAGTGCCATGGTGTGTTATAGAGCTGGTCTCCACTGTGGGCAGCTGCGGCTTGACTCGGCTGGGATGTGATGAGGAGCAGCATGGTGTGCACCTCCTAGTTGTCCACTGAGTGTCAGAGAAAAAAGCCTATATCCACGAACTCCAGGCACGAAGGGCCTGGTGTTACCCCCAAGGGGTTAACATCCTCAGATGTCCAGGTTGCAGCATTCGAGTCCAGAGAGGAGCCCCGGCAGAAGGCAAGATCAGAGCCCTGTGGAGCAGCTGAGTGTCACTGCTTTCACCTGCTCCAAGCTGGTTGCCAGTGATGGCCGAGTAAAAGGTGGGCTGAAAGGATGACAGGAGGGTCACAAGAGGTTTCCCATACACATTCATTCCACAAATATTTATTATTGGCTCCTGTATGCCAAGCACTGTGTTAAGCACTGGAGATAGTCATCAAAAAGCCAAGCCCTGTCCTCATGGGGAGACAGATCACAAGTCAACAGTTGATATAATATCATATCAAGGAGAGATAAGTGCTATGAAGAAAATAAAACAGGATAAGTGAACCGAGGGTGACTGCAGGGACGGGGGCTCATTTTGACCACCAGGGAAGGCCTCTGAGGAGCTATTTATTTCTCATTAGACAGATAATGAAATGAGGAACTGAGCCACGTGGATACCCAGGGCAAGAACATTCTGGGCAGAGGGAACTGCAGGTGAAAGGCTGAGGGAGGAACAAGCTTAAGGTATTAGAAAAACAAGGAAGTCACTGTGGCTGGAGTGGAGTAAGGGGCAGAGGCATAAGAGATCAGAAGAGATGGTCTGGCAGGCCCTCTGAGTTTGAATTTTATTCTGAGGGTGATGGGAAGCCACTAGAAGTTTTTAAGAAAGGTTATGGGCAGGGCACAGTGGTTCATGCCTATAGTCCCAGCACTTCGGGAGGCTGAGGTGGGCAAATTGCTTGAGGTCAGGAGTTTGAGACACACCTGGGCAGCATGGAGAAACCCCATCTCTAAAAAATTCCAACAACCCCAAAACCCCAAAATTAGGTGGGTGTGACAGTGTGCACCTGTAGTCCCAGCTAGTTGTGAGGCTGAGAGGCTGAGGTGGGAGGATCATTTGAACCCAGGAGGTCAAGGCTGCAGTGAGCTGTGATCACACGACTGCACTCCAGCCTGGGCAGCAGAGCAAAACTCTGTCTCAAAAAAAAAAAAAAAAAAAAAAAAAAAAAAGGAAAAAAATTCATTTTAGAAAAACATAGATCCTACAGTTTAAAAGATTGTCTTAGAAATGTGCAATATGGTTGGGTGCCTTGGCTCACACCTATAATCCCAGCACTTTGAAGCGCCAAGGGAGGAGGATTGCTTGAAGCCAGGAGTTTAAGACCAACCTGGGCAACACAGTGAGTGGCAATTTTTAAATCTCTACAAAAAAGAAAATTAGCTGGGCATGGTGGCACATGTCTGTGTCCCAGGTACTTGGGAGGTGGAGGCGGGAGGATCACTTGAGCACAAGAAGTGAAGGCTGCAATGAATTGTGATCACACGACTGCACTCCAGCCTGGGCAGCAGAGCAAAACTCTGTCTCAGAAAAAAAAAAAAAGAGATTTATGACTTGGTCTTATTTATGTTTTAAAAGTCATGTGGGTGAGACTGGCCTGGCCAACATGCAACATGGTAAAACCCAGTCTACTAAAAATACAAAATTTAGCCATGCGTGGTGACACACACCTGTAGTCCCAGCTATTCAAGAGGCTGAGGCAGGAGAATCACTTGAACACAGGAGGTGGAGGTTGCAGTGAGCCAAGATTGCACCACTGCACTCCAGCCTGTGCAACAGAGTGAAACTCCGCCAAAAAAAGTGGGGTACCATTACACACCTATGGGGGGCAGGGCTAAAATCCTAAAAACAAAAACAAAAGAAGTGGTAATATCCAGTGCTGGCAGGGATGCAGAGAAACTGCAACTCTCACACTGCTGGTGGGAATGCAAAATTTGTACAGTCAGTTTACATGAATTTGGCTGTTTCTCATAAATATACCCTTACCATATAACCCAGCAATCCCACATGTAGGTATTTTCCCACAGTGAAATGACACTTCTGTTCACAGAAAAACCTGTACACAAATGTTATAGTGACTTTATTTATAATGTCAACACCTGGAAACAATTCAAATGTCTTTCAACTGGTAAATGTATAAACTATAAACAGTGGTACAGCCATATAAAAAGGAATGAACTATTGGTAATGTGTGCAACAACTTTGAGGGACCTTGAGGGTGTTCTGCTTTGTGGAAAAATTCAATATAAAAATGTTAGATACTATGGGATTTCCTGTATATAACAATCTCAAAATGACAAAAGTACAGAGATGGAAAACACATTCATGGTTGCCAGGGGATAGAAAGAGGGACAAGGAGGAATGAAGTGGGAGTGGATGTGAATGCAAAGAGCTGTCACCAGCAAGTTCTGTGGTGATGTAACAGCTATCTATCTTGGTTGTGGTAGTTACATGAATCTACACATGGGATAAAACAGCACAGATAAACACACACCCACATGCGTAAATGAATGCAGGTGGAAACCAAACAGTGTCTGTAGTCTAGTTGATAATAATGTACCAACAATGTCAGTTTCCTGGTTTTGATGTTGTACTGCAGCTATATATTAGGTTGGTGCAAAAGTAATTGTGGTTTTTACCATTACCTTCAATGGCAAAAACTAAAATTACTTTTAAGTAATAAGATGTCACTATTGGGGGAAACTGGGGGAAGGGTACAGGAGACTATTATTTTTGCAACTTCCTATGAATGTACAATTATTTCAAAATCAAAAGTTTAGAAATATAACAGGGAAAAAACTATAGGAGGCCTTTTTCTTTAAACTGGGGAAATTGCAAATGGATGGGCATTAGATGACATTTGGGAATTATTGTCAACTTTCTTAGGTGTGATAATATATGCTTATCACATGTCCATACATTTTTAGGTGGTATATGTTAAAATTTTAGAGGTAAAGTGTCAAAGTGTCTACAAGTTACCTGCAAATTGTTCAGCAAATATATGCCTACACATATACATAATTTTAAAATATGGCAAAACACAGACAATACAGAAGAACCAGCAACACCTCTAGGAAGTGGCATCTGGATGCTTCCACAGAGGCCCACGGAAAGGCATCGACCTTTCTTCTGAGACTTATACATGAAAACCAAACTTTCTTCCCCATGGTGCAAAGACTAGCTCTTTTTTTTTGTTTTTGAAAAAAGAAAGATGTTGGTAATTTCCTTTGCAAACTTAAAATGCTAAATAAACATGACACTTTGTTTTAGAACATAATAATAACTATTTATTAGGGGCTTTCTCAATGCCAGTTCCCTTTTCAGGCATCCTCATAGCAATTGAATGCAGTAGCTATTTTTAGTAGCCCCATTGTACAGGTGAGGAAGCTGAGTCTCAGAAAGGTGGGATGATTTGCCCGTGGCTGCACCCTAGGGTGCTCTGATGCTTACCTGTCCACAGGTGGCCTCTTTTAGAGCCCTCCTCCTCCCCCTCAGCCACTAGCTCTACTCCTACCTAGGGACAGCCTTTATGTAGTGTCACTGTGGGTCCAGCAGCACCATTTATGCCACAGACATCTTTTCCTGGCTGAGAAGGGGAAGGTTCTCTCTCTCCGCAGTGGGGTGAGTGGTTGCATCTAGGTCAAATATAGGAGGGAAAGGAAGGGGATGGAGTGAGGGACCTGGAGGGAAGGGGAGAGCATGCAGAAAACACCAGATGCTCTTTATAGCTTCTTCAAAAAACATAGGCATTAGGGAACACAGGTTTTTATCAGTCTGTGAGGAGGGAGGAAGGAGAAGGTGGAGTAAAGGTTGCGAAGAATGTCTAGCCAGACCTCAGGAATGCCCAATGTTAATGACGATAAAGATGGTGATGATGACAACAATGATAGCAAACACGGTGTGCCAAGAGCAGTGCTACACACGCCACACGAAGTATTTCAGGCAACCTTTTCAGGAACTCTACAGTTTACTATCTTTGTCATCCCAATTTTCAGATTAGAAAACTGAGGCCCACAGGGTAACAACAAATTACACATTTTCATTTGTATACACTCGCATATAAATACATTGAATGAGGTCAGTGTACACACTGACACATTCAACTAACAACAGTAGGTACCTGAGGAAGGGTGATCAAGGTGGGGAGCTTCAGCTTTTCACTGTATTGGGCATTTTTGTTTTTTTACAGTGGGAATGTGTAACCATGCCTGTGACATTTCTTTTAAAGACTGTGTCCAAGGAACCCAGAACTAATTTGGGGCCACACTTCACACACTGCAGATCCCAGACCTTGACCAATAGGCTGCACAGCCTTTCAAAGGGAGCCCTGTACCTGCCCCACTTTTTTTTTTTTTTGAGACAAAGTTTTTTTTTTTTGTCGCCCAAGCTGGAGTGCAGCGTTGCGATCTCAGCTCACTGCAGCCTCCCCCTCCCGGGTTCTAGCGATTCTCCTGCCTCAGCCTCCCAAGTAGCTGAGATTACACACAGGTGCCACAATGCCCGGCTAATTTTTTTTTTTTTTTTTTTCATTATTAGAGACGGGGTTTCACCATGTTGACCAGCCCTGTCTGCAACTCCTGAACTCAAGTGATCCATCCGCCTAGACCTCCCAAAGTGTTGGGAATACAGGCATGAGCCCCCGCGCCCGGCCTGCCCCACACTTGGATGGTAGAGAGGAAGGAGGAAACGACTTCTGAGAGGCGTCGGCCCCTTGCCCCATCCCCCTTCCCTGGGTCTCCTGGGGTACTGGCTAGCCAGGCGTCCCGGCCTTGGGGGGGAGCCCAAGGCCGAGTGTCCAGTCCGGGGGCCCGCCCATTGTCACGGAGCGGACTCCCGGCCAATCAGACCCGGGTGATGCCACTCCGGAGATGAGAGTGGCAGGAAATCAAGGTCAAGGCCCCGGACACAATGGGGCCATTGTCGTTCTCCAGTCAGTTGACTTTCAAGCAGCAGTTCCCCCATCCACCCTCGCTCCTTCTCCCACCCCCGCCCCCTGCCAGGAACTTACCCAAACCTATTGCCTCCTTATTAGCCTCCGCCTGAAGAAAGCCGCTTTCTGGATCCTACAGACGCGGGAGGCTGGGCCGTCCCAGCATCGTCTATTATGTCCACCAGGTGGCGACAGAGCATCACATTTCTGAGTGCGGGGAGAGAGGCCCGGGGCTAGCGGCTCAATCACTGATCTGGGCGTGGAGGAACCCTACCCTTCCTGTTTTATCCAAGAGAAACAAAAAACCAAGTCAGATTATACTTTCCCTCACCCTTTACTCTGAGGCCACAGGAATCTGGAATCTCAGGGACACTTCCCTTAGCAAACGGCAAAAATGGCCGTGGACTGCAGCCCTTTTTTTCCCCTTGATCTGGGGGGAAAATCAAGGGGAAACCTCTTCACTCCGCAAGTCACAGCAGGTGGAACCCTGCCGCCTCTCTAGCTTGGATTAATCAATTGGCTGATTGATCGGTTGTGTTAGTGTATAAATGTCACCTCTGAAAGGACTTCCCTGGCCCCCCAGTCTAAATTATGCCTTCCCTGTTGTTCTGCCTCAGAGCTGGCTCTAGTTTTCCTTCTTTGCATGTATCTGTTTGTAATTGGACACATTTGTTTGATGATTTTCCACTAGAATATACTCTCTGTGAGAGCGGGGACTGGGTTTAGTTTTGTTCATCAATTTGTCCTTGGTGCCTAGTACAGTGTCTAGCACATAGTAGGTGTGCAGTAAGTATCTGTCAACATGATAAATTAACGAGTGCCCTATTGAGCAATGCGGGCGGAGGTGGGCTTCTGGTCCCTGAGAATTCAGCATGTGTGAATTCAGGTAGGCCCACTTAGCAGGCTGCACCTGGCCCAGACTATCACATTAGAGAGGCATGCCCCAGAGGCAGAAGAGATTTGGGGTTAAGGCATCTGGTCTGGGCTCTGGTCACTTGGCTTCATGATCTCATTGTCCTCTCATGTGCTGGGGCAACTTTGCGCGCATCAGCCGTTCTGAGCTTGTCTTCTCATCATCTGCAAAATGGGGATGAACATGGCATTTATCTTCTAAAGCCATTGTGAGGGTTCTGAGAATGTATGACAGGTGCTTAGCCCAGGGCCAGGGACCCAGTACACACTCTGGGAATATTCGTCATTACTGTTATTGCTGCTGCTGCTGTTAGAGAAAGAGCCTTCACTGAGGCTGTAGCCCAAATGCTCCAGGCAGGTGCCAGCTGAGGTGAGGGGTCTGGGGTTGAGAGGACATTCCATTGGTACCGGCCCCTTGGCAGTTCTCCAGTTTGATTTCTCTTATGAACTGGTCCTGGAAACTGAGGCTGGTAGGGCCTGTTCCTCTCTCCTGGTGACAAAGGTTAGATCTGCCTCTGCTGCAATCACTGCTGAGGATATCCTCCTGCCGCCTCTCAGCCTTCCTGGGACACTGTGGGCCCAGGCAAGCCCATTAGCTCATTCCTTTGTTTAACACGCATATGTCAGGTGCTGTACAAGGCCCTGGGGATGGTGGTGAACAGCGTCATCTTGTTCCTGTTCACAAGAAGCACATGGGGTTGGGGCACGAGGCGAGATGGTTATCAAAGAAACATGGGGAGAAACTGCATTTATTTTAACTGTGATAGGGGCCAGGGCCTGGTCTAGGACATTCCCTGAGCAAGTGACTTGTGGACCAGGAGCTGAAGGAGAAGGAAGAGAAGCTATTCAAGAAAATCCCTCCCTTAAAGCAACCACCCCTGGGGAAGGCTGTGATGACCCAATGGATCCTCAGGCTCTTCTGGCCCAGTCAAGTGGACAGATGCGAGAAGATTAAAAACAAACATACCCCAAGTACATAGGCTCCTCCTGGGGTCTACTGCCCCCACTCATGTTACCTGGACACATACAAATACAATGTCAAGTCCCAGCCCTAACCCTGGCCCCAGCCCTGGGGGAAGAGGACCAATTTTAGGGAGGTGGCCAGAAGTTGCCATGTGTTCGAAAAGACCTGGGATGAAGGGATTCTGGCATGAGTCCTTGGGGTCAGCATTCTGGGTGGGCTAGGGAGCAAGCCCGTGGTTCTGGGTGACCAGAGGCACCGGCCATCAGCACATCAGGGGAGCTGAGAGCATGACCTATGTTATCTGGGTGCTGGTCACTTATTCCAGCTCTAAGGCTTGCCAGCTTTAGCAAATTACTTCACCTAAGCCTCAGTTTTCTTGCCTATAAAATAGGAGCAATAATAATAACACCAACCTAATAGAATGTTTAGGGGGACTTAGTGAGATAATACAGGAGACATCCTGCCACATAATGGGCACTAAACAAACATTAGTGTTATTATATATTCTTTTATTCGCTCCTTTAACACAGGATTCTGCCAGTTTGGGAACCCAAGACCCAGAGAGGCAAACTAACTTGCTTAGGGTCCCACAGTTAAAAAGCAGAGGAGTCAGGATTTGAAGCCAAGTTTCTTTGACTCAAAAGCCTGTGCTCCTAGGAGGTGAAGGAGGGAGCAGATCAGTGGCTGCCTGGGAAGAAGCTAGGCTCCTGTTAAATCATATTTTCATGGATTCAACAGATGAGTGTAAATCTTTCTAGGGCTGAGGGTGGAATACACATCTTTTTCTAAATGTGGGAGTCAGGCAGGGCTCCCGCTGGTCCCAGTTGCTCTCTCTAGCCATGAGGGAGTCAGAGCAGGCAGTGGGGAGGAAGATAAGACCACTGGGGGAAGAGGGCAACTGAGTCCCAGGGCTTGGACCTGGGCTGAGTCCACTCATGGAGCCCTGGCAAGTCTTTCTTCCCAGCCTGAGCCACAAATCTCTGCTCATTCTCACCCCTAGGAGTTTGTGGCGCCTCTTCTCTTTCCCACCTCAGCCTGGGACCCCTCCTTTCTTTCCTCCTCCCTCCTGAATGCAGTAATTCCAGCTAACAAAAGCGACCATGGCTACTCTGATGTGTGGGACGACGATGCTAGCCAGGGCCTGCCTGGTCAGTGTGCCAAGCTCGGCTCAGGCCCTTTCCCACGTGCCAGGCGTTCTGGCCCTGCTCTCTGCTTCCTCCCCATGAAAACCCAAGCAGCCCTCATTTTTGAGACAATGGAATTAAACAGCTATGGGGCAGGTGGAAGTGGGGGAGCGGAGTGAGGGTAGGGAAAAAGTAGAACCTTCCTGAGCCTGTCCTCCCTCCTCTCCAGCTCTGGAAGGATGAGCTGCAGACCACAGCTTGAGAAGGAAGAGGTCAGACGGGCTGCAGAGTGCAAAAGGGACTTCTGTAAAGGCCTCAGGTTTGAGGGCGAGCTGGTATGGTCAGGGAGGGGCAGTGTCAGCCCTGCTTTCCCCACCCTCTGGCAGGCTCTGGAGTCAGTCAGACCAAGTTTGAATCCTGACTCTGCCACATGGAAACTGTGTAAACTTGGGAGGTCACTTAAATTCTCTGAGCCTCAGTTGCCTCATTTGTTAAATGGAATTAATAAACTCTCCTGAGGTTTGTTTGGATTAAAAAAGATAATGAATGAAAAATACTTAAGCATAGGGCCAGACACATAGCAAACACTGGATAAATGATCTCCCTTGCCGCCGCAGGGGCCGCTGGTGCTGTTACTGATGAGGGCTCTGAGCCATGGCCACGCACACTTTGGCCGGCTTCCAGGGGACGGTCAGCCAGGTCTGCTGGGGAGCCTTCCTCCCTGCCTGGTCCTGCTGATAATGACACCAGGTCCTTGGGCCTGATACAAGAAGAGCAGACATCTTGCAAGGGAGAGTCACCATCCCCTATCTCATCCCCAGCACCCCACCCCCACCTTACCAGAATGCAAGGTGTCCTGGCTAGCCTGAGGTAGGATGGGGACCCTTTAGCTAGAGGCTGCCTGATTTCTCCTCCTTTCCTTTCACTGATTCTCTGCCTTTAACTTTTCTCTTTGCCAATGCCAGAGACCTGCTTTCTTATGCCAAGGAAAGAAAGGGGAGGAGGGAGGGGGTTGAGGGAGGGGTGAGGAGATGGAGGATGCGCTCCAGTGTATAAGGACGAGGCTTCTGCTCTCTTTTTAATGTCAAGTTGAAATTTGTGACATTGGGTTGTGTATTTAAGACATCTGTCCCCATGCCCTGCCACTCCCTTAGGAAAAAAGCTGCTCTCTGCATAATAGAATAGAAGCTTTAATTAAAAAAATAAAAGTTTCATTAAATAAGGAAAGACGCTTAATAAATAAAAACTATTACACGGCAATAGAGTCTGCGGTCCCATTGGCCACCTGACCACTCATTTCTGGGCTGGGGGCTGTTGCACCCATATCCTGGCCTGTGTCCTCCCGCTCTGTGGGACACAGGCGCGGCTGGACCTGGTAAAGGCCACAGTGTAGGCTTGTGCCCCAGCTGGGGCTGAAATCCTGACCCTCGGCCCTTTGGATAATAGCAGCCTGAGCAGGGGGCCCTTGAGAACTAGGATCACCGAAGTCCTGGTCCTCAGGCAGGATCTTTTCAGCTCCTCCCACAGGTAGAGCCACACCTCTGCCCCACCCAGTTGCTCAGAAGCTGGAGAGGAAAAAACTCTGGTCTCCAGACAAAGGTCTGGAAAATCCTTGAGGACCTGGAAGCCCCACTGCTGCCCCACCACACTTTGGGGCCGACCTCCACCCAGGCCGTGGCAGGCACCCTGCGTGGAGGTCGGCCCCACTGTGTGGTGCCTCTGGAGCTGGCTGATCTGAGCTGCGATTAGGCTGGAATGTTCCCAGTCCAGTTCACAGTGATGTGGCCGTGCTGGCCTAGGGAGACTGTCCGAGGGTCTGGCTGTCCCAGGTTCCTCCTGCCTTGAAGGCCTGTGATTTCTGGCCTGCCCACCCACATGACTTCCCTCTTTCCTCTGCCTACTGCGCCCACCTTTCTCAGCAGCCCTCACACCCCTTAGGCTCCCCATGGCCTTGTTCATTTGTCCCCTCCACCTGAAAGCCCTCCCCTACACCCGTCATCCCTCTTGCCTCATTTATTTCTGTTCTGTCTTTCAGACTCCTCCAGGGAGCTTTGCTGACCCCTCCATGACTCAAGCTGGGTTGGCTGCCCCTCTGCTGCACTCTCCAAGTTCCCTAGTGCTCCTGGATCTGGTGAGCATTATGCTGTCTCCTGAGTACTTGCTTTGCAAAGTGTCTGTCCTCTCTCATCACTGCAGCTGCCTAAGGATAGAAACCGTGTTATCTCTGAACCTTGACACATAAGATCTGCGTGGGGCAGATGCTCAAATGGAGTGGACCAATGAGTGGTGATTAAACCGTTTACCTGCAGATGGAGTGGGGAGACTTCCTGTTCGCAAGTGCTGTTCCCACAGCTGAGACTGCCTCTCTCCTCCCTAAGCCCTGGATTTTAGGTCCCCTTCCTCTTCTACCCACGCTCAGGCTCCTTGTCATAACTTGATAAGGGCTGAGGGAGGTGGTACCGGAGATGAGTAACGCATGGGGCCACCTGCCAGCTAAGAACCATTGACCCAAGCTTCCTTTTCTGCAAAATGGATAATAACAGCACCTTCTTAGTTAGAGTGGCTATAAGGACATAATGAGCCCCTTCCCTCCCCGTGTCCACACTCAACAAGGGGCTACATTCTTTGCTGAAGGTCTGTGATTGCCTCTGGAGGCAGGAGGGCAGCTCTGGAGTCTGGCTGGCTTGGCATTCTATTTGCAGCCATTCTGTATCCCTCATCCCCACCCCACTCCCTCCCTACGGCCACCCCTCTCCACAATGCAGAAGCCTTAGGTACTCTAGGACTTATGGCTTTGTTGTGTAGGGGAAGCTCCTGGAACAAATGAGTGGTTGTGCATGTGGTTGTGTTTGGTTTTGGACTTAGGGGGCACCTCTGGCTTTATGGGTCTGTCCTTGGTCTTATGCTGGCTTTCTGCCAGGTTCCAGGGGTCTACATCCCTGGAATTACTACCTAGGCCCACGGTGGAGAACAGAGGCAGATAACCCAGGTGTCTGGGGCTGTTAGCTATCAGAAATATGGAACCTGACAGCAGGTGAGCTGCCACTTTCTGACATCTGGAGGCCTTACTGCCCCACCCTCAGGTCATCACCTCGAAGGCCTGGCAGATATTTGTGTGAAGACAGAATGAAATTGAGTGAGGGTAGAGGCCAGCATGGCACCCACTCTTTTCCTTCAATGCTCCTCCCTCTCTCAGCTCAGGGGCTTAGAAGTATGGTTTACAGGGGAGATGGAAGGTATCAACCCTAGAAGCAGACAGGCCTCAATTTTAATCCCAACTAGCTGTATCTTGTGACCTTGGGCAAGTGACTTCATTTTTCTGAGCCTTGTTTCATAAGCTATAAAATGGGGACAACAATGGCACGTATCTTTTAGAGAGTTATTAGGATTAAACAATTAAATGGGATTAAATGACTAATTAATTTTAAAGGACTATATAATAAAATTCATGTATGTACACACATTAAGTGAACAGTAAATGGTAGTATTACTCTTATTATCTGTCCCTTGCTACGTTTCCAGCATCTATCCAGGGGACTTTAATGCTGTCCAACCTAACAGAATCTGAATTTGTTTAACATTTACAGTACCTTAGAGAGAAGCTCAGTGAGCTCAAATGAGAGGAGAAAGGTAGCCACCAGGTTCTGAGCAGGGTCTGTCACCCCCTTCTGGACCCCACCCCCTGTCTAGGGTGCCAGATGGTCCTGCCGCTGTCCTTACCTCTTCCAAAAGCTTGGGGAGGTCTTGCTTCATCTTCCCATGTGGGAAACTCAGGCAAGCAGGCAGCCCTGCCACCCAGGGACCAAGTGCACTGGCCTAGAGGCCAAGGGGTGTTCTAGTAACTAGAGAGCAGGGATGGAGTGGGATGAATGCAGAGTCAGGAGAGCGAGAACAAGGATCATACTTTTGCTTGGATAGCTTTGCTTGGTGCCATGCTTCAGGCTTTCTAAAGAGGATTCTCAAACTTTTCTCTCCATAGAAATGGCTCATGGGCAATGACATTGGGAGCAGAGGAGGCCCCTTTTTCTGTGCTGCGGTCTCAGTAGCAACCAGACCAGTGTTGTGGCCACCCTGAATATGGAGTGTCTGAAGAAGGAAAAGGGGGAGGCTGAGAAACCCACAACTGCAAAGGCCAGGGCCACAGGAAGAAAGTAAGAATATAAAGCACTTCCCAAATTCCTAGGCTCTGGCCAAACTATGTAGAGCAACTCA